ACCATTCCACCTATTCCCACCCTGATGAAGATGTAAACGAAACGTCGCGCGTCGTATCCAACTTCGTAGGGTGGGACCGTGTGCACCGTTGCTCCCATAGTCTACCCACCAAATCTGGTTGTGATCGGACGACATTCACTTTTGGACTTCTCTTCGAGCCCCATGTACCGGGTGGCCAACTAAGAATGGACGTCGGCTGTATCTCAGAAACTACTTATCCTATAACTTTGGGAAAACAATTCTAATAAGTAAATCGACCAAGAGAAATCACTGGAAATTATTTTCAAGTTCGAAAAATGTCCGCTAGGGGGCGTCTCTCTGATTGCCAATCAGAAAACAGGGTTTTTCTCAAAAATATGCAAGTGAACAGGTATTTTAAATATTACTATTGTAATCATCGAGAAATTTGTATTTTTTTTGATATAGAGTGTTTTGCTCTAACTCATAAAATAAAGTGGTGGGGGAAGATTAAACTTGCTTTTATTAAAATAAGGATAACTCTGGTTTAGGTTAACTGATTTAGACAAACTAGGGCTCGTTTAAAAGAGCTTTTCTTCCTTAATAATCTTCAGTATAAGCGAAGGTGCGAATGTTAACAATATGCACTATTGGTCCAAATCTACCCTGGATGCAAGTAGTTCAGCACCAAGATCGTTGATCGATACATGTTTAGGCAGGATGAAATGAACTATCCATAATTTCTAAGAAATGAATTGCCAATTTTGTTAAGGGATCTTTCATGATGCATCTGTCGCAATTTCATCAGCATGAATGCAGTTGGTGTAGATGATGCAGTTGGTGCAGTTGTGTCGCTTATTTTGCCATGAATGTGTGGGGCTCCTTGGATACCACTTACTTTAGTAGATAGAGACGCTGGAGCGGCATATTTCCATGGCCAGCTATGTCATCGAATTCAATATGCCTGGGTTTTAATTTATGGGGTCGAATCAAGAACGAACATGGATAAATAACAATTAAGTGGTATTAAAATGAAATTAAAATATATGTTTTGATATTTTGACGTAACCAATTTGCCTCTTTTTGTTTCCTAGCTTACTACTATAATTTTTAGACCATATAATCCTAAGCGGCAGCCTAACATGATTTGTTCTCTTAATATCTCAGGTTAGAGAGAAGATAGAAAGTTACGGTTTGCGCTGATATTTAGGAAATTTTGTGCTCTATTTAACTGTGCAAAGGACCAAATAGCCTCCTATTTAATTTTTTATGCAAAAGCGCAATATCAGTTATGATGTCAAACAGCGCCCTCTAGCTGCCAAAAAAAAAAAAATGGAAACAAAGTTTGTACTGGAAATCATTAAGGAAGAAAAACTCTTTAAACGAGCCCTAGTTTGTTTAAATCGGTTAACCTAAACCAGAGTTAGCCCTATTTTAATAAAAGCAAGTTTAACCTTCCCCCACCACTTGATTTTATGAGATAGAGCAAAACACTATATATCAGAAAAATTACAAATTTCTCGATGATTACAATAGTAAAATTTAAAATACTTGTTCACCTGCATACTTTTGAGAAAAACCTGTTTTCTGATTGGCTATCAGAACAACGCCCCCTAGCGGACATTTTTCGAACTTGAAAATAATTTCCAGCGATTTCTCTTGGTCGATTTACTTATTAGAATTTTTTCCCAAAGTTATACGATAAGTAGTTTCTGCGATACAGCCGGCGTCCATTCTTAGTTGGCCACCCGGTACATTCCGAGTTTCAGCACTAATTTTAAACTCACATAGGGCCGATGCTCCAAAGATAGGTACGACGCTCCAAAGACCCATCTCAACTTTTTTCTAAGCCGTAGGCTATACTTGCAACTTTTCCTCTCGTGTGTAGTGTCGTGTCATAGTCTTCAAAAATACATCCTCATACTTCAGATATTTTTATACACTTATATAGGTTATAGTTGTTACGACAAATATTAAAGAAATTAACGCTTTCATATATCTGTTAAGCAAATTAAGAACCAATCTGGAATTATAATATAATTTGTTGTAGTAGAGGTGTTAATTTTAGAATAAAGATAATACCTACGGATTTTTCTATTTATAAATGATTTTTATGACCGTATTCAGTGGCGCAACTAGGGAGGTTGGGGGGCGCTTATCTTACTTATCTTTATCTGCAGAATATGCTGCCAAAGTTTCTGGAATGCAGTTCGGACCACCCTGTATATTATGTTCTTGTACAAATTCTACATGTTTCAAGAACACACGTATATGAAATGAAATACCATATGATAAAAAACGGTGTCCAGTTGGCTTGCAAATGAATATTGATGACATTCCCCATATAATTTTAAATATAAAATGACAGCGATCTTCATTTTCATAGCTATCGCTGACGCCGTTTTTTTTCGGTCGTATGGTAGCCAGTTGTTTACGATATTCTCCGATGGTGGCAGCATTAGCGAAGAATGCATCAAGCCTTTTACTATGTGTTTTGTCATCACCAAAACTTTTCGCTTTAACATTTCTTCGTAATGCAAACGACGTAATAAACTCTATCGTTAACTGAGTCCGAATAATGGACTCTTACTTTATCGTTTACTCACCCTGTGGATGCATAAAAGAGTTTTGTTTTTGTAAATTTAATTGTTGATATATTTTCAAGTTAAATGAAAGGTAAAATTAAAACATGTTTGATGAACTGTATGGTAGACAATATAACTCAGGCAGATAATAGTAGATACTATTAGCTGGCCTTATTAATCACGGTATTTTTATAAACTTATATTTATACTATACCTATATCTAAATACTGCTATTTTAGTATTGTTACAAACTGGAGTATTGTGTAATTTATATATCTACAATTTAATTTAAGGCATTATGTGTTTTTGGGTCACGAGTCGCTGCTGGGACGGTCACAGACAACGACCATCTCGTTACGTCGATACCTACACGTGTGTATGGTAATCACATACAAGGTCATCAAGAAAAATCTGTTTTTTTCGGGTTAGAAAGTAATAACATTTTCTTGTAAAAAATTATTGTTTGATTCTTGATGTAAATGAAAATCAAAAAGTAGACCTTCTAGGTATAATACTTCTAATGAGCCTGAGTGTATAGTGGAGTGCCTTAAGCCCTTGTGGGATACAAACCTCGGAATTCAATTACTGTGAAGGAATTTTGATAAAACTTTGCATTGTTCCTATTTGAAATTTTCACTCCAAACCTTTTACAAAATATATGTGTAATGGTTACATTTCAAAATATTTTCAAGATATACGGGTGAATCAAATATTTAAATTGTAATAAATAAAAAATTAAGTTTTAGTATTTCAAATGAAATGCTTTATATATGTTTAATACATTGAATTTGCTATAAATTTCCGGTTCCAAAAATACCTTAATACCATAGAATAATCTGAGTGGTTTTTGAATTATGATAATGTATACATACTACATTTTACCTACTTTAAATTGGGAATATAATGTAGTATTTCTAAAGGCACTACATTTCACGATACAGGGCAGAGCTGTCAAAGTACTGGAAAGTATTGAAAAAAAGTATTTCAAGTATGAAATATCAGTCACAGAGATTATATTACTCAAATCCAATTCCCAAGTAATTTTAATTTAAAAAGTACTTTAAGACTCAAATATTCAGTATAATACTTGATTTTGTTCAAGGAAAGTACTTCAAAATAATAATAATAAGAAGAAAATACCTGTGAAATAATGCGCATAAGAAAACCTGCGAATTAAAAAAAATAATAGCTCCCGTATATAGCGTTTAACCCCTTAAGAGCGGCAAGGTACAGCTTGCCATACTAGAGTCGTTCGGTATACAAGGAAGGTAATGTGGCTAGAATTATGCTTCAACCGCCTATTATTACCTCAGGATTGTGAATCCCAAGTACTCATTTAAGGCTGAGTCGACCTAGGTACCCAAACTATGAAACTATTTTTATTTTATTAAAAATTAGTCGGCTGTGGGATTCGAACTCCCAACCTTTGAATTGGTAAGACGAGAGCTGTACCTCTACGCCACCGGGCACCTACTTCAAATATCACATGTTTATTTCATGGATTTATGAAGTATTTAAAGGATTTGAAGTAAAAATAAACATTATATGAACTGCAGAAAACAATAAAAATAATCGTAATATTAACTAAAAATGTAGTTACAAATAAGTATTGATAATGAACTGACTGACACGGTAGCCAGTAGTTTTCCAGACCTCAAATTATGGATATTAATGAAATTTTTTAAGGATAAAGAATTAAATTTTAAAATTTATTCTTTATTTAAAAAGAAAAGGCTAAATATTTCAGAAATTTTACATTTTGCCATATACTTTTCTAATGAAACTCATCTTTATTTTTTCCTAGAATCTGAAAATCAATTAATATATAGGGTGTTCCATTATAAAAACACAACTTTGATGCGTAACTTTTTTGGGGACACTCTGTAGAACTTTATATAATTTTAGAAAATGCTTTAAATTAACTGACATAAGCTCACAAATTTCACTTCAATACAAACTGTTCTACTTGCAGACACCGCGTCGTATATAAGGCGCCACCCTGTATAATTTGATTTCAAGCAAAATTTCAATGATTGAAATCAAGCAGAATATTTCAATGATATGAATCAAGCAGAATAGGTATAGCTTATGCATTAGATTTTTTTATTTCAATAAATATGCTTAGAAAAAAATTGAAAAAAATTAAGAAGTAAATAACTAAGAATTTACTAAAATTACTAAAATAAAAAATTAAAAGCAACGAAAAAAAATGGGTAAACATTTTTTTTTGTATTTTATCTATAAAACACAATACAGAAGGTTTAATACATTTTATTCAGTTTAATACATTTTTAATACATTCACAGTAATTGAATTCCGAGGTAAAAGTCCCCGGGCACTCCACTAGTAATGCGATATTTTATTTATAAAACTATAATAATTACTAATTGTACTCAATTCTTATATATGTACTTAAATAACTTATTTAGAATAAGTTAAACTAAATAACACACTTACCCCCTGCTGCATATAGTAAAGCTGAATCATCAAATCTAGTTTTAAACATTATTGAGAATCTAGTAACTGAAGAATGTATCCGATCTTTCCAATCATATACTCTATAGGATACATAAGATGATCCTCGTAAAGTTAGAACTGTCGCAGCTGAAATGTAGAAAGGAAGTCTTAAGCTGTGAGCCAATACTAATATTAGTTTCACTATAAGTTAGTTATCATCAAATATAATAAATTATTTTCCTTCAATAAAACAATTAAGAGGTATAACACATGTGTATAGTATTTCCGAAGTCAATTGGAAGTACTGTGACTCTTAATTATTTTCTACGATGCCGACAAAGGCGCTGACAAAGACAGTGCAAAAATTAAGAATCTCAATCTATTCCAAATGACTTCGGAAAAACTATACCTAGGAATTAGATCTTATTATTATAGAATTAATTAGATGTTAACTAGATTGTTCTAAATTCTAAATCTTATATTATATTAGATATGCTTTTAAAGTTTAAAAACTAATTTTAAACGTTTTTTAAATATTTTCTATTTCATGTAAAAAGTTCCAAACGTTTTAACAATTAAACGTTTAGTACTTCTAACTTTAGAGTTTTTGCTTCCAATATACCTGTATAATAATTTAATATAATATATTATACTGTGATCATATAGCTGTTGAAAAATAGACCAACATTCGAATTAGAATATACCATATGATAGAAAAAAACAGGTGTCAAAGACGGCTCGGCAATCAATGATAATCTAGCGAAGCCAATCTCTAGACGTTATTTACTAAAAATTGACATGTAGCTTGGCAAAAAATTAATACTAATTATAGAAAGATTAAAAAAAATAACACGTTCCCAGACACACAAATCTATTTTAATTTTTCGAATTTTAACCTACTACCATTTAAAAATAAATTTTACTAACATAGCTAAATCCTCTTGTACTTTAATTTTAATAATAATAATAATAGCCCCGTATATAGCGTTTGACGCCTTGGGAGTAGCAAGGTACAGCTTGCCATACTAGAGCCGTTCGGTATACAGGAAGGTAATATAGCCAGCACTACGCTTCAACCGCCTATTATTACCTCAGGATTGTGAATCCCAAGCACTCATTTAAGGCTGAGTCGACCTAGGTACCCAAACTATTTTTATTTTAATTAAAAATAGTCGGCTGATAAAATGCCGGGTGTGGGATTCGAACCCACTACCTTGAGATTGGTAGACGAGAGCCTGTACCTCTACGCCACCGGGCACCTTACTTTACATTGTTTTACTTTAACTTTTATAGATATGGTATAGAAGATATATAGTAGAGTATAGATATAATATAGAGGTATATTAGGTGTAAAAGGCTTTGTTTACACAATAAAAATAACAAAAATAGCACGCAACAGCCTATATCGTGCGGGCAACTCTTACTTTTGGGTCGTTATTTACATGTGTGGAAGTTTCCATTTCTCCGGTGCACCTTTCCTATCAAGTAAAGTAAAACCCGATCGTAAACTGCTTATTTTTAAAAGACTTTTTTCGAAAAGATAACTAGATAAAATCATTAGATATGTTTCTGAGCATCTGAAATGGAATTATAAGGATATCGTTAGGGTTTCCATTTTTTTATAACGAGAAAACGTCAGTAATCGCAATAATTTAAAAAACTCAACTTTTTAAACGCAGTAACTCAAGAACCACTTGAGATACATTCAGGCCGACGACGAGTTCGGATCTTTTACAAGATGTTTAAGTAAAGGAAAATTCGATAGGCTTGTTTTTTTTCATTCAAACATTTTAAAAACCATCCATTTACTTTTTTAGTGCAAAGCAATTTTCAGCAATCATTTAACTTTTTAATTTATAAAGCTTTTTTCACATACTGTCTGCGAAGAAAATATAGCAAAAAAATTAAGAAAGTTTTTTTTAAAAAACTACAATCAATTGTTTCTAATAGATTTCAAGATATCGATATTTGAATGCAGAGTTCTAATAGCGCGACCACTGTCGAACTCATTTCCACTTATTTTTATCAAAACTTATTCTAACTTTCACTGAAAAAAATACAAGCTATAGAGAAAATTAGGACTCGTTAATAAATAAACAAATAAAGTATCACGACACGTAATTAAATCGTAAAGCTGAACTTATGATGTACACCCTTCCCTAGAATTTTTGTACTGAGGTACTGCTTGAGTCGACCGGTCGAGCGCGGCGAATCTGCTATAACCCTTCCACGTCTCTTAGCAATCGTTCCGGATTTCTATTTTTTTACGGACTTTGGAACCTCCTGGGAACCCTCTCCACCGCTACCTAGCCAGCGGACGCCCCTTGGGCAACTCAACTTCGTTGATACAATCGGTTATTAATGAATCGGAGCTTAAGGAAATCGTATCCCATTTTGTACGCGGGAGGCAGGGGTATTAGTATAAATTTGACATAGAATTAAAAACTATTTTTACTATAACAATATTATTTTAAAATAATCTCAGAAAATAATGATGTAATATATAATGTTACTATACTCACTATAAAAATCACAGAACTCTCCTTCATAATTTGTACCAAAACAATCGCAGGTTATAGCATAATAGTGATTAACACATCGAGATCCTTTAAAGCAGAGATTTTCGTTAGTTAAACATTTATCAATACACCCTTCTTGGACGTTTTCGTGTTTTGTAGCTATTAACGGTGAAATTTGAAGTAAATCAGACGCCGACTTTCCTGTACTTAAAACGACGTCTTTTATACAGCCCACGAATGATTCTATTATGTATTTAACACCGTGCAATCTCTCTTCGGAACTGAGACCTTAAATGAAACGTAATATGATATAAATTAAATACATAATTTATACAGCATGTCGTTGAAATAAATTAATAAAATTTGGTTGACGAGAGTGCCCGTAAAACTTAAAAAAAAACAGTTATAATAGTAAGTTAGGTAAAGTGCATATTAAAGGACGTTAAAACGTTTCATTAAACATTTTTACCAAAAAAAATATTCACTAAATTTAACACGGTAGTTCTAGTAAGAGTATGGTCTTTTTAATGAATATTTTGTAGAGGATTTTTTTTTGGCTTGCAGAATATAGACTCCATATACCGAGTGTTTTTTTTTAAAGTTAACCCCTATAACTTCTTTATTTTTTTAGATAAAAAAGCGATATTTGGTGAGTTAGTATATGACATAAATCAGAATGGATTGACGTAGGTACTTAATTATTTTTGGTCAATTACTGCTTTATCGTAAATGACTAGAACTTTTGATTTTAATTTTTTTACTTTATTTGGTAGAAAATGTCATTCTGAATAGAATTACATATTGCATGTCAACTTTTTACATTTCTTTTTAAAAAATCTGTATTTGAAATTTAAATCTAGTAGTGTTTGGACAATAAATATAAAGACAATTTAAATCGAAATACCAAGAATGTGGTAAGTTATTCGTAAAAAAATGTTTTTTCCAAATATGCTAATAAGCTACCCTCGTTGCTCTGTAAGATCTGTAAACAACCTCTTTTACGAGTATATAAAATTAAAAAAAAAATCATCAAATCAATTTGGGTTTTATTTTTCAATGACAGTCAAAACAAAAAATAACTAATTTTTCACTTATTTATTTTACAATTAAATAAGGATTTACATACATTTTCTTGACTTGTAATAAAATTATCTTTTACGAAAGTGTGTAATTAAAAAAATTATAAAACTATAAAGAGGAAAAAACAACCAGAAAAAATATTCATAAAATAATACCTACCCTTGCTAGAGTAACTCCCATTCAGATTAACCAAATATTTGTTTATAAAATAGTATAATTCAGGAGCAAATTTTATGTTTGCCTATATTTTTTTTTTATTTTTTTAACAAACGACTTTATTTGTCGTTCACCTCCTTTAATATAAGTTACTATTTATTTATGCAGGGTGAGTCTTAAATAAGTGCAAATATTTTCAGTGCTGGTAGATCTCAATAAAAGAAACATATTTTCTCTTTACTATTTTTCAAATATCTCCAAAATAGCCGAGTTATTTTACTGTCAAATTTAAAAAAATATATTATATATTTTGGTTAAATTTTGGGTACCACTGGATCTTTTTCGGGTTTTCTTTCTTGCAAATTTAATCTACTACCTATGTTGTTATCGCCAAGATATTATGTTTTTTAACTTGAAATTAAAATTGAAAAAAAAGAAATTCCAAATTTTCCATTTTTTTTTTCGCGAAAAAAATCTAATAGACATGTTTCTAGAGTCGAAATATACTACCCTTAAAAAGATTTGCACTTATTTAAGATTCAATCTGTATAAACTTATTTATTTTCTTTTTTTAACTTTTAACTCCAACGACACCCTGTATAGGACGCAATATTTATTAAACAACTTAACAATACAATTGAGTCTAGTACCTCCAATTAATATCACTGACGTTACGTTTGCGGCCACACCATAATTATTCTCCGTATCCAATCCTCTGAGATCGGTTTCATCTCGCAAATCATCCACGATAGCTAACAATTTCGCAGCGTGAACATCAATTCTGACCTTAAAGTGCAATTAGGATCGATTGGTAAATTAAATGATTTACATAAGTAAACAATATGACAAATAATTTATTTTGTTCTAATTGGTAAAACAAATATTGACTATAGAAATGCAACAGCTGCTTATACATTTTTACCTGTAAATATATTTTTAAAACAATATACAGGAAGAGTTTTCTCCGATGTGCTCTATGGGTATCTTGGAAATTAATGGAGCTAGAGGTGGGTTAAATGGCGAAAGAATTGCAGTTTTGTGAGGACAAACATATGCGCTTTCCGTTTTTTTGAAAAAGTTTATGGGTTACTAGATATTAAAAAAAACAATTACGACTATTTTAAAAACATTCCTTACTAATTCCATTTATAATCTACTTTAGACTATTCTACTTCAAAAAGTTTTTAAATAAAAGTTGTAGAGAATCACGTCCAAAATGAGACTGTGTTCTACATTTTTTTCTAAAGCCTGTCATTTTTGACGTATGACACAAACATATGTTTTCTAAACGGAGACCATAGGTAGCGATGACTTCATAAAAAGCTTTATTTTTTAAGCTTTCCAGCGATATAAGCTAGTTTATTGTAAATTCTGGTATTCTTATTCTATTATGATTTGTAACCTATAAAAGACAGAATTTACTTAGCAATAAGAAATTATAGGACAGAATATTATTAACTTGAAATTCACGCTGACAAAAAAAATTGATACAAAAAGTGGCAATGATCCTCTGAGTCCTACTTTATAAAGTTTTTTTAATAACATTAAATTCCCAGTACTCGTCATATGCTTTAGTAATGTCCAGAAACACAGCTATTAAATGGTTTTTGTTTAAAAAAAATTTCGTGAATATCCATACTTACTAAATGATTCAGTGTACCTTGATTTTTTGGTGAAGAATACAGTTTTTAATTAAGAACCAAGAGAGCCATCAAGAGAGATCGGTCTGTAACTGTTAGTGAGCTGGGAGGACTTCTCAAGTTTAAGAATTGGAATGAGGATGGCGTTTTTCCATTCCTGAGAAATTTGACTCGTGAGCCAAACTTTTGTAGAGCTTTAAGTGAAAATGAAGGAGGTATTGTATCATGGGAAATAAGATTCCATCAGAACCAGGAGCTGAGTTTTTAGGAATTTAGAATAGATTTTAGTTCGATTATTGTAAAGGGATAATTATACGAATAATTGTTTTTTGTGGAAAAAATTTGGTGAAGATTTCTCCTCAAAAGATTTATAGTTCATGAATTCTGGGTGATAATTTGTTGTACGTGAGGTGTTTTTAATTTAAAATGTTCAGAAAAAATAGGTAGATATTTGATTTGGGTTTGTAACCCAACTATCAATTACTTAATAATATGATACATTTTCGTATGATATTTATTTCATAATTCATACATTTTCGTATGATATTTATTTCAAAATTCATACATTTTCGTATGATTTTTTCGTATGATTTCGGGGTCGCACCACTCTGGCACTTTGTGCCATTGTATCGGTTTTTCAATCGCGGTGCGATCCCTTTAGACACACATTTATTAATACTAATATTATTCTGTAAAACTTAATGGGGTCTAATAAAGAAATTTGAATTTGAATTTGAATTTTCATTTTGGTGAAAGTCATGAAAGTTTCTTATTTCTTAGTTCTTAATTTAGACCTCATGAATTTAATCATTAGCGGGCAAAAAAAATATCGGTAATAAAAAAAGTCCACAAAAAACTCGCGAGATTTCATATCTCGACCGGATAGTCTAAGAGCTACATAAAAAACCTTATCATCGTTACATGGCTAATTTTTCTTGTGAAGTATCCTTATGTGAAGTATCCCATTATGAAATAGTCATGTCTGCCAGAGCGATCCAGGGGCTTAAAGCGGGGGCGGCCAATCGAAAGGGTGAAATTTTGACACTAAAAATATTATATGGTACACGAGTTATAATTGCGAAAATAGCTTTTATTTATCATTATGGAACGTGAAAAATTGTTGGCAGACATTTTTCTGGTCGCCAAAATGCCGGCAGACAACGCGAAAGAGGCATGAAGTTTTGGAAAAAAAATTATGGCTCAGATGCATGCCGATTTGTGGAATGTCATATTTATTTATTTTAAAAGCCGTATGCAAAAGGGCAGACAAAAACATTGTGGCTAAATCAGCGGCAGGCAGTTATCAAAAGCGCGATATTACTCTAGCGCTTTCAGGGAACGCTCCCCGCCTTGAAAATCGCGCATTTTTTAAAAAAAATTCCTTTATATTTTAGAAAAGTTTGTAGAACTGCCTGTTCACTGCAAATTTACCCACGGTATAATTTCTGAATCTACCATGCTTACGACTTTACTCTATGGTTACGACACTAAAAGAATGAATGCAAATACGGAAAAAAACAGGTGACAAAATTATTTAAAAATAAATATTTCTAAAAATGTCTTTTTAAATTTTCAAACTTGAACGGTTATTTTGGACTCATTTGAAAAACGGTAAAGAGAAAATATATTTCTTTTGTCGAGATACCTACCAGCCCTGAAAATATTTGCACTTTTCAAGCCTCACCCTGTAGAGTAATATCGCGCTTCTGATAGCTGTCTACCGCTGATTGAGCTACGATTTTTTTTGTCTGCCCTTTTTAAATAAATAAATATGACATTCCACCAATCGGCATACATGTATGCGATTATTTTTTTTGTCAAAATTTCATGCCTCTTTTAGCCACGTGAAAAATGTCTGCCAACAATTTTCCACGTTTCTTAATAATAAATAAAAGCTATTTTCACTTCACAAGAAAAATTAGCAATGTAAAGCCGCGTCCAAGCTACTCGAACAAAATGTTAGCGAACATATATAATTAAACAGATACTAAGTGAAAATTGTGAGATAGGTAGATTTATAAATAATAAAGCCAACAAGTACAGCTAGTCTAGGCCTATTAAGGAGCGCGGAGCGCAGAGCGCCGAACGGCTAGCTTGTACGCCCGAGCGTGCGTCTGCCTATGCTAGAGCGCGCGCGTTCTTGGCGCTGCTGCACGCCGTTGCTGCGCGCGAACGGCGTGCATTTCGGCGGACATTGTACCGGACACTTGGAAGGGTCTCATTTAATTTCGGGTGTCCATCTGTAATTTTTATTTTTTACCGAGTATTCGACAATGGGAGACGCAGTTATTGACTGGGATCGTGAAAACATTTACAACTAATTTGTTTACACAAAGAAAAGATTTTATAATTTTAATTTTATTGTGGGTTGAGCTGTGTGAATAGCTATGTAGCTAGACTTCGTCCATATAATTTCATTTTTGTTAATAAAGACCTTTATGATTATTTTTATTAAAAACCGGAATTATTATTGGATTCTGAAATTAAAAATTACTACTTAATAGGAAGTTTGACACCGGAAATGAAATTTTACCATTACATTTTTAGAAATAAATATACCGGGTGTTTCTGAAAAGTGGTTCACTTCTATAACTTTTTTAATTTTTTAGATAAAAAACGAGATATGGTATGTTAGTATAGGACATAAATCAGGATTGATCGACGTTTTCATTTATTTTCGGTCACTACCTATTTCACCGGAAATGACAACAACTTTTGATTTAACTGGTACCCTCGGTATTTTGTTACCGTATATGATAGAAAATGACATTCTAAATAGAATGATATATTATAAGTATATGTCAATTTTTGACATTTTCAATTTAAAAATGGCCAACCAAACCAAACCAAACCAAATACCAGGTATGTGGTACCAAATTATTGGTAAAAAATGCTTTTTCCAAATATGCTGAGCCAGCCCCGTACCATTTGAAAAATTTGAGTTATCATTAAAAATACGATTTGGGCATCTTTTAAGCGGCCATGAAAGGATACGAAAAAAAATTACACGATCAAATATATGTTTCCAAAGTTCTTTGATTACAAATTAATAGTTTTAACTCAGTCTTGGCAGTCTAGATTGAAATTTAATTTTGCTATTTTTATTTAATTGGAATTGTCTGAAATTGACGTATAATATGTCATTCTATTCAGAATGTCATTTTCTATCAAATAAAGTAAAAAAGTACTTAGGATACAATCTAAAAATACAAAGTTGTAGTCATTTCCGGTGAAACAGGAAGCGACCGAAGGTAACTGAATACGTCAATCAATCCCGATTTATGTCATATACTAACAAACCAAATTTTGTTGTATTATCTGAAAAAATAAAAAAGTAAAAAAGTGAGCCCCTTTTGAGAAACACCTGGTAGAATCGGTTGAAAATGAATACAGGTCTTAAAAATACACTATAACGAATAATCTACCAAAAAAAACCTGTAACCCTCCGCCTGCTAAATATCGATTCTTCAACGACAAAAGTTCTTAAACTGTTTACCGGTTAATTCATTTAATAAAATGTTTGCACTCGAAAAAACAGCGACTACCTAAACGCATCCTAGATCTATAGAGCAAACTGGTTGTCGCATCCTTCCCCGCACCTCAGTCCTCGGGACCGATGCGATGAGCTGTGCCGTCGTTTACGACCTGGTGCTACGAGTATATAGTGTGAATTATATATGTTCGCGAACGTTTTGTTCGAGTAGCTTGGACGCGGCTTAACGATGATAAGGTTTTTCATGTAGCCAGCTCTCCGTCTAGAACCATATATTTTTATTTTGTTTGAAATGAACATGAGTGAGAGAACTTTTTAGCCGTATAAGAATTTGCAATGTACGGATTGGGAAGGAAGCAATCGATCTTTCAAGCAGCTCCCGGAACTTAAAATTGTGAAGGTGAGTGATAGCGATGAGATCTATATTGCCACCAAAAAAATACGCTGTGACGAACGCAACGGCTTATAGTGACCTTATTTGTATTATTAAAGTTCTATTATTAAAATATGCAACGCCTTTTATTTTTACGAATAGTAAAAATAGTATTTAATAAACAATCTTACTGTTACGGTGTGCCACTGGTCATTGTTAAGTCCCCTTCCTACTGTTAGTGCTGTCGAATGCTTTCCGTATACATGGACAACTTTTAATTGCCCTTGCTGAACAATAATATACAGAGCATAAGGTTGAAGTTGGATGCCTTTTGGTACTTTAACGTTGTGATACACAAGAAGACCGTGAGGTAGTTTGGTTCGAAACTGAAATGAAATCTGCCGGCATAATCTGAAAATAAGTAAAAATAATTTGAAAAAGAAATATTAGATAACAAGTATTTACCGCTGGATTGCAGTAGGTACTTTAAAATGCCAGGGTATATGGAGGTGGTGAAATTTTTGAGTTAAGGATGTTTTAAACTGTTTTGACAATAAAGCCTTTAAAATGTACTTGCAGAATATATTTTTGGAACAAAAACTTTATACAGGGTAACAAAATATCATATAACTTATATAACACTTAATTTGTTCCAATTAAAATAGAATTGAATAATCTAGATTGTTTATTAGTTCAAAAGAAAATATCTAGATATTGGTGAGCAAGAATATGATGATATTCTTGATCAGAGTTGTCGCAAATCATTTAAAAAACCATTTAAATCAAAAATACATTTCATTTGGACAAATTATTTAAATCAAAGATACTTTTTTCAATAAGAAAGTGTTTAGATTATAAATCATTTAGATATTTAAATCTTTTTTGTGATTTAAATATTTTTAGAAAGTATTTAAGCTACTTTAAATGCATTTAAATTATTCAGAAAAATTTAATTCCTTTTTTGTTAATTTAAATCGCTGATATCATTTCATGATTTAACTGCGTTTGTTAAATCGTTTTATGACAAAATGTATGTAGAGGATTTAAATTTAATAAAACAATAATTTGTCTGATGATCTTGCTCTGAACTCTCAACATCATTCATCAATAATTATTACTGCTACCGATGCTACCGTTTGTTATTGTTATTATTTATTATTAAATTAAAATATGTATTTTTTTGCGAAAGAACCTTTAACGTTTAATTTAAAATTCGGGTTCATGATTTAGACTGCAAAGGTTTATTGAACATTTCAATAAACCTTTTTTTGATATTTTCAATTTGAAGATATTAGAAAACAAATTCATAAAACTAAATAAACAATATAACAAGATAACAAGGATATAAACAAGAGAAGAATACTATATCCAATATATGTACTTACCGTATGAACAAAAAAAACGGCGCCTAGTTGGCTAATGTGTGTCGACGAAGTGAATTTATAAATGTGTCGTAAGAGAACATTCTCTCCACTGGAGCAGAGGAAGGTAATATACAATTGTATTTTAAGAATAGCACACTATATTTGTGTAAAATGTGAATGCCATTGCAAGGATTCTGAAGGTACTACAGCAATTGTAATTCAAATTCGTTAAAAGCAGAATTTTTATGTTTATTTTGCTCAGAGATCGGCTCAAAAGATCATCGGCTCAAAAGATCATCTACCTCATTTTGAACATCTATTGGTTTTGGTGCGATATTATCTTCAGCAGTTATAAATTCCTTTGTAGCGTTAATTTTCATATTTTCACTTGATATTTTTGAGACACTGAAGCAATATTTTTTTGTGACCTTTGTATTTAAACCGTCTCTAAAAAATTTAAATCAATCGGAAAAGATCTTAATCTTCAGAAAAAAAATAAATCACCTGTAAGCGGTTTCAATACTTTCGAAAGTAATTAAATCATTTTGTTAGTATTTAAACCCCTCTCTATAATATTTAAATCACTTCGAAATGACTTAAATCTTTTCGACAGTATTTAAATCTTTTTAAAACATTTAAATCATATTTTTAAGTTCAAAATCAAAGATAATTTCTATAAAGATTTATATCTTAAAATCAAAAATCATTTTCCGTAAAAAGATTTAAGATTAAATGATTTAAATCGATAAAAGTATTTAAATCATAAAAAAAAGATTTCAATCTTATTGAAAGTGACAGCTCTGTCCTTGATGTATCAATTTCAGTTCATACTAAACAGTTTTCTGCAAATTCTAATAAAAAATAGGAACTTAAATAGCCAAAACAGGCAAAAATGCTAATTAAAATCAATATAATAAAGGAAATAACGGTTAATTATCATAACTAATTATTAAAACTCACTGCCAATGTTGAATTTTAAAAAAAACTTATATTTTGTCATATGAGAACTGCCGACAAATTCAAACATCGTAAATAATAAAAATATTACCTTGTACTTGTAACTAATTATGTATCGAGCAACATAGGGGTGCATTCGTTGAATTTAACACTTAATGTCAAGTTTTTTCACTGTAGTATTGATCAATAAAAAGAACTGGATGAGAGAAACGTTTGCTCAGCAGGTAAAAGACCATACGCATTTGGGCCGAAAACTAAATACTCCGAACCAACCATCACCGAAAAACCTTCATTTAGATTTTTTAAAATTCATCGCGGCATCGGGACAAATTAAAAACATTCGGATAGAAATTCTAGTAAATCTAGAAGAGTTTCAGTATCACCGTACCGTATGAAAATCAGATACATGAGACTCCAACTTTTATCTTCAACAACAATGGTGATATCCAGCAAAGACAACAAAAATGGCACACTTAATCCTTATATACATCTCAGTTTTTGTATCTGTTTTAATTAATATGTAACAGTCCTTAAAATTGGAAAAGAATGTTAAATTTCAAATAGTACATCTTTTTAAAATTATTATCTGAGTTATTGTATTAATTAACGTACCAATATATATATATATATATATATATATATATATATATATATATATATATATATATATATATATATATATATATATATATATATATATATATATATATATAATGTTGTTACCTATTCGGAAAGAACATTAGTTATTTATTATAAAAATTATATAAATAAATCATTTTCAACCAAATAACGATTGAAAATAAAATTTTTCCGCAAATAATGAGATTAATTACATCTCTTATGGAAATTTACGTAAATTAATAATCTACACAATTATATTTTGCAAAGAAAATAGTAAACTGAACCTATTTACCTTAATTGAAACGTTTGTATTATATCTCCGTCTATTTGAATGAATGTGTTTGATTGGGCAAACATAAATGTATTTTCCGTTCCTGTTTCTTGAAAAGTTAACTTTGGTCCTCTTTTTTCTTTTGGAATACTAGACATAATATCATCCAGTGTGAGGTTGTCGCCTATAAAACAATATCAGACTATATTATTAATAATGGAAATGTATGGCTATCGCTTCTTTGATTTTAATAAACATAAAATAAATAACTTAACATAAGTAAAAACTAAAACAAAGTAAAAATAATCACATTTACACAGAAAGTTTGAAGCTGTTTTGGTTCTACCTGATTAAATAATAATTGTTATCACATAGTAATTGTTAGTTTGAAGTTTGACTTAGTAGTACTTTAGTTTAAGGGCCTGAGCTGCCAGGGATATTCGGCCATGTAATAGGATATCCAATCCTCTACTTTTGTATTTAGATTATTAACAACCAGGAATCGCATTAGCGAGTCTGGGTGAGTCCCATACCCTGATTTGATGACGAAATCACAATATCACCTAGAATGAATGTAAACATTACAATAGAACCTAGAATGGATTAATACAATCGCCAAACCAAAATAAAAATACGAAAACTACAATTTCAATCCACTACCATCCACAAAATTGTATTATTGTCGCACTAATTGTGGGACACCCTGTATACAATCAACTAAAGCAGACTGATCATGCAAAGCCGAAATAAAATTATGTGGCCCATAGCCATAATGTGTAATTAAGTCACTATAAAGTTGACAAGAAAATTCCTCAGAGTTGTTGCATTGAAACAAAATATGGTTTAGTGTTCCAATCTGGCCACATGTACAAAGAGGGTCGTCTCTTACTCCTATTCTATTAAGATGCACTGGGATACAACAATGACCACTTCTCAATCTAATAAATGTAGTTATCTTCTTTCTAGAATACCCTTTATACTTCTTGAACCATGCTATTCTATACGGAGTTTGAACAATACTTGCAATACTTGCAAATAGTACCTTTTATCACAGAAATTTCCTTCCATCTTTCTTTCCAACAATGGTAAAATTGCTCTTTAAGAACATTAAATAATTCACTATGCCAACATTTCATTTCAATTCTTCTATCATCTTCTCTTCCTAAATTAGCGAGAAAATCAGCTCTATCATTCCTTTTAATTCCTGTATGGCTTGGAATCCATACAAGCGATACATTACAACCCAGATCATTTAGCATTTTTAGTCTATATTTAATATTTAAAACTAATTGGCTATCCTTAAAAGTAGGCCTGCTTCAAATTGCTTGAAGAGCACTAAGACTGTCCGAAAAAATAACAGATTCCCTAATCATATGAATCTCAATTAATTATAATGCTTTTAAAATTGCAAAACATTCACCCGAAAAAATAGTAACTAGACTAGAAACATTAAATGTCGCTTTCGTTTTTAAATCAGGACAATGAATCCCTCTCCTGTGCAACTTTGTTTTTGTTTAGATGCATCAGTAAACATTTTGATCTTATCTGGATATTTTTCATTAATAATATCATTAAATTCCAAATTATTATGTTCGTTCTTGCTCAGATCAGATTTATAAAACTTAAATTTATCAAAAAAGGGGCAAATTACATATAGGCGAAACATCACCCACTTCAGTATGTTGCACTAGAGGAAATATACGATCTATTGGTTCAATAAGTGGAGGAACTGGAAATTTTCTTCATAAATTATGATACTGATTATATACAGTCAATGCATTTGTCATGTATTCAATAACTAGATTATCACGTATATTAAAAGCCTGTAATAAAAATCTAGTTGCCAGCATATATCTTCTAATATCCAACGGGAATTCTGCTGCTTCCGAAAGTAGAACATTAATGGGGCATGATTTCATCGTACCTAAGCATAATCTGAGCGCTTGATACTGCACTTTGTCCAACTTATTAAGTGAAGTTTTAGGACATTTGTACAAAATAATACCACCAAAGTCCAAGTGCGATCTTACATATGCCTTATAGAAGCTCAACATAGCTAAGAGATGACTGCCCCACCAGGTTTTTGCAAAAAACTTCATTACAATGATACCCCTGATTGCTTTAGCACACATCATTTCAACTTGATTTTTCCAGGTATATCCTTTATCAAAAATGACACCCAAATATTTAAATTTCTCCATCCATGGAATAATAACATCATGTAATCTTACAACTGGAATCCTATTTTCAGCTTTATTTTGAAACAACATACATGCTGACTTAAGAGGTGAAAAGGATATTTCAGTCCCTTGTGACCACGTTTCCAAGTTAGCAAGGGTATCATTCATTTTATCTGCCATCATGTTTAAATTATGGCCCTGTATAGCCAATACTATGTCATCAGCATACTGTAGCATAATCACACCATCACTTAATCTTCAGAAAAAAACAAAAACCTTTTAAATTATTTATATATACATTAAATAATAACGGCGCCAAAGGAGGACCCTGTGCTAATCCTTTATTTCTAAAACCTGGACCTACTAACTGATTCTTCTGAAAATCATTGACATAAATTCTTCTGTTACTAAGTATATTTCTTTATATATTTTTTACTAAGTATATTCTTCACTCAATTTGGTCATGAGAACATCCACGTTCACATGATCGTATGCGCCCTTTATGTCTAAAAACACTATCATAGTTTTAATTCCTTGAGAAAACCCATTACGAATGATAGAAGACAGGATCGTCAGACTATCATTAATACCTTTAAACTTTCTAAATCCAAATTATAGTTATTTAGAATCGGTTCATGTTCAAGTTTCCATTCTTAACTATATCCTCCAACAATTTCCCAACACACCACATAAGTGTAATGGGACGATATGACGAAAGACTCTCTCCATCCTTGTTTGGTTTTGGGATTGGACAGACCACACCTGTCTTCCAGCTAATTGGAACCTCTTCTAAACCTTTAAGAATTTTATTGTACAAACCTAATATATATATTTTATAATTTAGAGAAGCGTATCTAATCACAGAAAATGAGACACAATCCAGCCCTGGAGCAGTATCTTTTTGTTTTCGATCAAGCGCAGTTTCTTGCTCACAAAAAGAAAAAATCATTACTAAAACTATATATAACACACTCTATATTTTGCATTAATGTAACTGTTGGAGCTGTAAGACTCTGCAACATTTCGTCTGCAACTGAAAAGTTCAATGACCATTTATGATTTATACAATTTATACTATTATTAAACCGTTTCACACCTTTCCAGACTTTACTTACAGGTGTAAGGGGTGACAAATTATTACAAAATATTTCAAAACTAGCCCTTTTTTTCTCCCTAAGTTGTTTCCGACATTACACACGAATTTTTCTAAAGTTTATAAAATTTTCTAATGTCGATTCATTTTTGAATTTAGAAAAAGCATCTCTCTTAGTCTTTATAATCATATCACATTCACGATCCCACCATGGATTACCAATTTTTTTCCTACTCTTCATCTTAGGAATTGCTCTCTCAGCTGCTTCTATTACTCGCTGCATCATCTGATCATATCATCTTCTAATACATTCAGTGAAAGACTCTCTTGATAAATATTCCAATCAGCCAATCTGGTATTAAATCTCTCTAGTCCTCCGTGGTTTAATCACTGCATTGTCATTCCTCCTACAGCATATTGGTAGATGATCACTCAAACCAATATATCCACATATAACTTCAAAATTAAATCCTGATTTCTTCTTTTCCATAATACAAGATCAGGCGCACTCCTATTCGGTTTTGGGGTAGTAATTCTAGTACAGTCTCCGTCGTTCAAAAATTTAAATCCTGTTAATTCTAAGACTTCCAAAATCACATAACCTTTTCTATTATTATTACCTGACCCCCAAACTTCATTTTGCGCATTCATGTCACCCGTGACCATTATATCTTTATTAATTCGTACTGGTATTATTTTCGTAAAAAAATCAAGGGGAAGTGTAAAACGTTTGGAGGATTATATACAAGTGAGACAATCATATAATTCAGCTCAATAATTAAGTATTGCAATCTATCAGGTTATGCGAAATTTTCCAAATGAATAATATTAAAACAAATATTATTTTTAACCAAAAATGCTATTTCATCTCTACCATCCTCCCTATCTTCTCTCAAAATAAAATAATTCGGTATGCTAAAATGAATGTTTTCCTTCAGCCATGTTTCATTAAGCCCAACAACATCAGGCTGATATTCTCTGATTATATTAACTAAAGTATCACGATTGCTTATAATTCTCCTAATATTCCATGAAATAACAATCATAATTATCTAGTATTAGATGAGCAAAAACGAACATTTATCAATTTTTATAAAATTAATTAATGTGATCTTATAATGTTCAATTAATAACATCAAAATCTTTGGAATTAATCAGTTAATTTAAAATACATTTATTTGCATTAAAGCATTTTTAAGTTGTTTATTAATTTATTATTATGAATTGTTTAAAGTAACTTACATAAAACTAAAAAATCATTAATGTAATTCAAAACTGTTTTTTTTTTAAGAAGGATTATCTTGTGTTATTTTATTTGTTCTATCTGACCTGTTTGCCTTTATAGCCTCGCTGTATGAAGTACCAAACCAAACCAAACCAAACCAAGCCCTGTCTATTCTATAAGGTGCAACTGAGTAAGGGACATCTATATCTGAATTTCTATCCACGTCAACGTTATTGACGTCCATCTCTACTTCTAAACCTTTATCGTTCTGGTTTATAACTGGGGTAATTTTGGTCATGGGAAAATCTGGGAATAAGATATTTTTGAATCTGGTCTCTTATTACTATTAGTGTGAGATGTTCCTCTACTTTTCTTTAAAACTGATATATATTCGTGCTTTTTAACGAATCTTGGAGTACTAGCAGCTAATGTGTTAGACAAATGCTGTGACTCAAGGCAAGGCTGGTATGAATCAATTTTAAACATTTTATTAGCTTCAAAAAAAGAAATATTATATTTGGCCATAGCTTCATTGATGTCCGATTGCCTTTTTTATTCCCTACATTCTCTATTCTTAGGTAAATGCTTACCTTTACAGTTAATACAGGTAATTTCTTCCATATCAGTTTTACATTCCTCTGCTCTATGGTTTCCACCACAGTTATCTACATCTATTAGTTAGTTACATCTGACTTTACTTCTGCAATAAACTGACCTGTGACAATATTTGAAGCAATTATGGCAGAGAATGATAGGACTTTTGTACATGTGAACATCTCTTATACAACTGTACAAAGCAAATTCATATGGAATAGTACTGCCTCTAAATACAACCATAAACATATTTGTGTTAAACTATTTCCTCTAATTCCTATCCAATGCTCAACTAAGTTCTCCTCATGCATATTACTGCTCACTCCTCTTATAACACCTCTGCAAGTCACCATGCGTGGCGGAATGCTAAGTATCCAGTCAAATTTTTCTGCACCTTCCCAATCCAAAAGAATATTAGTATATTCTGAGGTATCAAATATAACTCCAACTTTGTTTCTTCCTTTATTTTCTATTTTCCTTATTCCTATAATACCTTCCTTATATAAAACTTTTCCTACATTCATGGAATGCAGATATCTTGTGCTTTAAATAATGAATAAAAATGGTTGTGATGCTGTAATATCGTAGAGGTCCACATGATTCAAAATTCTTCTAATTTCTAAAAAGGCTTGGGAAATTTGAGACTGCAGATTTTCCATATATTTATCTCGCAATGCAAATAATTCAGCTTCTAGCTTATTCAAGTGATCTAATGTAACTAAAGCTCTTTCATTTTTAGCAGTGTGCGATTTAATTTTAGCTCTTTCTGTTGTTAATAGATCAATAAGAAGCTTTTTATTATTTTTTTTAAATCAACAATAGGGAGACCAGCCGGTCCCCCTTCTAAGTCTAACATGCAACAATAAAAGCAAAAAGCACGTGTCTATGTAAACAAATCTATAAAATCCCAAATACCAACTAACAAACCAATATATATTTTGAAACTAAAAAAGAACTCACCCAATATGAAACTTATTGCCAGAAAACAATCCGATCACCAAAATCCTATCCTGAAAATCAAGATTTTTCGAAGAATAAAAAAATTGCGTCTGATTACCCTGACAGCTCTCAGAAAAGTCCCGAAGTTTGACTTCATAATATAAATGTCATTATAAAAGGAACGTCAACACGACATTGTCTATACAGGGTGTTCCAATATTCTGTGGACATAGAACTACTACGTATTTTTGGAATCAAAATAAGTTCACTGGACACTATTTACCTCTATACAAAAGTGCTTCGTTTGTCCGCTAGAGGGCATCAAACTTTAAAAAAAAAATTTCATTTTTTCACATTTTTTCAGATATGTTAAGAACCGTTATTCCGATTTGAATGAGATTTTGGGTGTCTATGTTTTGCTAAGTGGTCTAACATTTGCTTTACACAAAATTCAAGAAAAAGTACGGGAATGGTGAAAACTACCCCCACCCCTACATACATTTTAGTATAAATATTTTCCAACTCCACCAACGACGGCCCATTTTCTTTTCGTAAAATGGCCCCTCTAGTATTTACTACATTTTTTGTCTTTGTAAAAAATCGCCACCTTTTTGAAAAAAAAAATTCCAAAGCTGACTTCAAAAAAATTTCATTGTCACAAGTTATGGAGGCACATAAAATCTATTATACTATTATAATCTAGTTAGCAAAAATATGGAATCTTATCTTATTATCACAAATTTTATTTGACGATAAGGTTCATAATAATAATAATAGCTCCCGTATATAGCGTTTAACGCCTTGGGAGTAACAAGGTACAGCTTGCCATACTAGAGCCGTTCGGTATACAACGAGGTATACAAGGAAAGTAATGTGGCTAGCACTACGCTTCAACCACCTATTATTGCCTCAGGATTGTTAATCCCAAGTACTCATTTAGGGCGGAGTTGACCTAGGTACCCAAACCATTTTTATTTTAATAAAAATCGTCGGCTGATGAAATGCCAGGTGTGGGATTCGAACCCACTACCTTCAGATTGGTAGACGAGAGCCTGTACCTCTACGCCACCGGGCTTCATAAAATTTTTAAGCTTCATAAAAAGCCTAAAAATAATAATTTTTAAATTAACATTCGGGTTTATCTTTGATTGATGCCCTCTAAGAGACAAACGAAGCACTTTTTTATAAAGGTAAATGATGTGCAATTAACTTATTTTGACCCAAAAAATACGTATCTATGTCCACGAAATATTGGAACTCCCTGTATATTTTGGTCTGCTTTGGCAAAATAAATTCTTCAAATTTTTTTTTCACAAAAACTATGCGATGTGGCGTTTTTTTACAAGATACAAAACATGTAGTAAATACTAGAGAAACCATTTTACGAAAAGAAAATCTGTTGTCGATGGAGTTGGTAAATATTTGTACTAAAATTTAATTAGGGGCGGGGGTAGTTTTCACCCTTCCCCTACTTTTTCTTGAATTTTGTGTAAAGTAAATGTTAGAGGCACTTAGCAAAAAATAGACACCCAAAATCTTATTCAAATCGAAATAACGGTTCTTAAAATATCTGAAAAAATGTACTTATTTTTTAAAGTTTGATGCCCTCTAGCGGACAAACAAACCACTTTTATACAGAGGTAAATTGTGTCCAATAAACTTATTTTGAATCCAAAAATAAGTAGTAGTTTTATAAAGGTAAATATGTATAAGGTCTATGTCTACGAAATATTGGGACACCCTGCATATTTCATAATCAAGACAAAAGTTTATAATATAATAGACGTATCTCTATAAAAAAATAAATTTTTCTTGAATAGTTGTATTTAAATATTTTAAATAATGTTTTATTTGTACTTTGTATTTTTTTGTTTCTGACTAGGAGATTATATACCATTAATTTTTTTACGTTAATTAAGTTCATATAAACATGGGTATGGAAATGCATAGTTTTAAAATTACAGGATGTTAAAACTTTTTAATATTAGGTCTTTTATAATTATCTCAAATTCCATTATTAGCCGACCATACCAACGGGTATGGCAGGTTATTAAGATCGGCAAAAAAAAGTTTTTTTTTTATTTTCGCTCAAAATATTTGGGTCATAAATGACCTAAATACAAAATATTTTCATGGTGTCTGTCTGTCTGTCTGTTTGTCTGTCTGTCTGTCTATCTGTCTGTTTGTCTGTCTGTCCGTCTGTCTGTAACACGATAACTCAAAAACCGCTAAATCGATTTTAACCAAATTTGGCACAAAAATACTGTGGCACCCGAGAATCTGGCTATTAGTTTTTGGTGGGGGTGGGGGGTTGGTAAGAGGGAATGGGAGGAGGTTAAAAGTTATAAAAAATCGTAATTCCAAAATTACAGTAGCTAGCGAAACGCGGTTTTCAATTTAAGATTAGGAATAATATTTGCAACAAAATTTGTAATAACATCAAAATCGGCCGCAGTTTTTGAGCTAAAAAAAATTGGAAAAATTCCTTTACTTTGAAACTAAAAGAGATGCCTATCAACTTTTTATTAACATATTTTAGTATGGGCGGCTATATGTGCCTCCCGGCGCCATTTTTTTTTTCATTCGCCAATTTGAATTTGCTGTAGGTTGGGCTAATAGTAATTACAACAAATAGTAATAATATTTAATATTAAATTAGAGAAAATGAACAATTTATTAATTTTATTTTTAATTTAATTTTATTAATTGTGATTAATAAAGGAGAACGAAATGACAAAATATGAAGATACAAATTTTAATTGGCATTAGATGGCCTATACAATTTTGCTATCAAAAGAAGAAAAGTCAGTGGCGTATATGTGTTTTTTTTTTCGAAAAATATTCCAGTGGTAACCCATATGCATGTCCCAAAATATGTAGCACTTATAGTAACTTTTACTTAACCTCAAAATTTCATTCGAATCACTAAAAGCACTTGGAAGAAAATTATAATAAATCGAAAAAAAAATGAAGACTTTAACCCCCTTTAGCTACGAAACAAAGCAGAATCGGAACTACGTTGATATAAAAAATAAATTTTATTTTTACGTGAGGAATCTCCCCACAAGAGATCTAACATGTTTTTTGAAACACCCTGTATATTTTTGAACAAATTCTACATGTTTCAAGAACAGACGTATATGTTATGAAATACCATATGATCGAAAAAAACGGTGTCCAGTTGACTTGGAAATGGACATTGATGACATTCCTCATAAGGGATATGTCAAATGACAGCGATCTTCATTTCATAGCCATCGCTGACGCCATTTTTTAGATCATACGGTACTTGTATTTCCCAAGACAAAAATCTAAAATATATTTTTCCATTTGTGTCAATATTCTTAGACACACTGAGCATAAAATCATTCAACTGAGTCACTCGAAACTCTAACCTTTTTGACCTATTACCTGAACTAGAAAAACATCGTTCAATGCACTGGCTTTCACTTTCGAATCTATTTTTGTCGTTGCCACCACAACCGCCCCATATAAATGTGACACATTCTCTGTTTTGATGATCGAACGCCCATTTAAAAATATTCCTGTTGCATGGGCCTTTTTCTGGTTTTCCTGAACAATGTACAGCAGAAGGTAGTTCTGGTTTGGCAAATGACAGTGAAATTATCATGGTCATGAGAAGGAACAGCATCTGAAATATAAAATATAATTTAGAAATAGTCCATATTTCACACATTTAAGCGGGTTTTCAATCAAAAATATAGTTCTAAATTTAAAAATATTTCAGTTAAAGGAAACAGTGACGTAGCCAGGAAGTCCGGGCCCGGCATGTTCAAAAATTGATAATTGTTTTGAGAAGTACAGAGATTCTAACCATCTGCTTGCTGATGAGACGAAACGAGCATCGAGCATAAAAAGTAGTGTTCTGGTGTTCTGGACATTACAATACACTAGGTACCCATATAAATATTTATATAAATATATTTATATTAATGGTTATAAAAAATTGTTTAAATAAATAAGCTTAAAACAAATGCATCAATTATAGGAATAAGTCAGTGTAATAAATGCATTTATAATATATTGATAAACCTACATTCTTCATATGCGTATACGCACGCATAATTAGCTTTATTCTTAAAACAAATGCATCAATTATAGGAATATATTCCTAGCATAATATACAACATATTATGCTAGGAATATATTCCTATAATTGATGCATTTGTTTTAAGAATAAAGCTTATTTATTTTTACCATTTTTTATAATATACCAAAACAAAAAGTAAGACGCGATAATCCAGATTTTTTATTAATCCGAACCCTAGTTTTAGTTTAACCGGATTATGGAGTCTCTATTGTATTATATGTATTAATTTTTATTTTATTTTTTTCTTAATAATATAGCTATAACCATTGTAATTTTTATTGCTGTAGACGACGAGAATATGACGTCTTGTGAGAGACAAAATAAATTAAAAAATTGATCAATTATTATTTTAGAGGTCATCCTATTTTAATATAGGCATATTTAATATTTTTTACTTTTTATTATAACATTATATATACGAAAGATATTATGACATTTCAAAAGTAGTAGGTGCAAAACTATGACCTATAAAAATATTAGGTTGTCTATCAAGTAAAAGGAGAGATATACAATTACAATCATAAAAGAAATGTATTTACTGTCAATTTTTAAGTTATATGGCATAAATTTGTCAATTGTATAATCAACATGACGAACAGTGACGCATCCACTATACCTACGTATCTAAAAAAAACGTCATATAGGTAAATTATTTATTAATACGTTATCAAGGTCTAAACCTACAGAATATTAAAATAGTAATAAAAATATTTTTATCGCACCGTATTTAGATACTAATACGAGATGATATAATATGTATAATCAATGTATTAAACGATTTTCATTTTAATACGTCACAATTTCTTAAAATATTTTTTTTAACAAGCAATGTGAGGAAACAAAAATTTTACTGATAAATTAAATTAGCCACTAACAGATAAAGATATTCTCCAAATGTTTCGATTTGGAAAACACTAGGTTAACATCAGGCTAGGGATGTAGAATGTAGAATGTTTAGGAGGGGAGTTAATCACCGCGATCTTACAGATCTATCGCTGTTCCCCTTTTTTGTGTTATAACGAGTTATAACTCATCATACAGTCTCAGGGTTTTAATAAAAGCCAGTATCTGAAACGGTTCCACAGAAGCCAGCTCTCCATCCTCGACATCAGCCGTACCAAAGTTCATGGCACGAACGGTCGTCGTCTCTAGCTATTATATATTGTTTCTCAGCTTCAGCCTACTGAGGTTTTCGTTGAGGAGACAGTGTTCTGTTAGAAACCCCGTTCCCAAACCGAAAGTTGTTTTTACTTAAATCAAGGAAAACCTTTGATTTTTCTTGGTCTGAGGAACTTTTTCGGGTGCCTTAGACCGTTGGAGGACACCCATTCCAGGTTATGGGTGGAGTCTTCCAGATTCTTCAGTTCCGCTTTCAGTTGGTTTCCGCTTGGAAAACAGAAGGATTTTGGTCCAGTTAGTCGAGCGTTCGCTCCATTTCTAGCTAGATCATTTGCTTTTTCATGACCTTCTATCCCTTAGTGAGCAGGCAGCCAGAGTAGGAGGACTTTATTTTCTTTGCCTAATTTGTTGAGCTTCTCTAGGCATTCTTTGACCAACTTCGAATTGATGGTTACTGAGTTGATAGCGCTTAGTGCTGCTTGACTATCGGATAAGATGGCTATTTCCTGTTTTCGATAGTTCCTAGCTAAGATACATTGTACGCATCATTCGATAGAGTAGATGAAGGATGATGGTGTAGGTGCCCATTGGTTCGGAATATTTAGTTTTCGGCCCAAATACTCCTATCCCTGTCCCTGCTTTGGTTTTGGAAGCATCATTATACTTACTTACTTACTGCCATTACACGCTGACGAGTATTTGACACGCATCAGAAGATGGTTACGCACAGCATTTCCTGTCATGAGCTTTTCTGTGACTGAAAAGATTCAAAAATTTCATTACTTTGTTGCCTCTTTACTTTTTGGTTGTCGTTATTAACTGTATTTATAATTGTCCTCCATTGCGTTCTATTGTGCGCCGCTTCCTATCACTGATGCTGCATACTTATCCCCTAAAGTTTTCATGAAAAACATCCTTGTATCTTTTGAGTTGACCACCCGGTTTCCTCTTACCCTCTACAAGGTCACCGTAAAGAAGAGATTTCGGTAGGCGGTTTTCTTGCATCCTGCATACGTGGCCAGCCCATCTTAATCGAGATTTAGTAATCATGATTTCAGTGCTGTCGCAGCTTGCTTTTGCAGGGACTGATCGTTTGAGACGTGATGGTACCATTTGATTCTTAACAGTTGTCTAATGTGTCTCTGTTGCAACTTGTTTAATGCGCTCGTGTGCCGGCGGTACGGTACCCAGGTTTCGCTTCCATGGTCGGGATTATTACTGCTGGATACTCTGCAGGTTTCGTTTTTGTGCTCAATTCATGATTGTAGAAAACCCTGTCTTTTAATTTCCAGAATGCCTTTGAGGCGCTGCTGATTCTGTGCTGAATATCAGAGTCGATATTTGCCTTTTCCGAAATCAAACTGCCGAGATAATTAAATTCCGATACATATTTCAATAGTTCTTCTCCGATTTTTATAGCACTGTTATGATTTTCCGGGGGAGTGCACATGATTTTAGTTTTATCGATGTTCAGTGTAAGGCCCAAAGTCTCGTATGCCCAGGTGTATGTGTTCAGCATTTCCTGTAATTGCTGTAACGTATTTGCAACTAGAGCGCAGTCATCAGCGTATTGGAGTTCTGTGATGAATTTATACGTGTTTTTGCCCTGAGTCTTTTTATGATGAACAGACCGCCGGCGCCGTCATATCTGTATCTAACACCCATTCCTCTTTCCTGCAGTTTCTTTTTTCCAATCCTTTCTATTACTCAATACTACAGTGAGTTGTTTCTCAAAGTTTTACATTCTTGGTGTATCATCCACTGGGAGTTAGAGATGTGGAATTTTCTTTTTGATGGTGTTCCAAGCTCCTGACCTGAAAATTCTCCCAGTACTGTTTCCGTCAATGACCATTCTAATCATTGTCGCATTGGCATAACTACCGACGATAATGTGCACTGGTGTTAGGTCTAGAATGACCTCCATTGCTGCTATTGGACATGTTCTCAGGGCACATGTGATGCAGATACATGCCAGTCTTTGTACTTTGCACAGGTTTTGCCTTGCTGTACGTTGCTCTAGTTTTGTGTACCAAGAAACTGCTCCATAGGTAATCTCAATGGGTTTACTATCATGGTATACATCGAGCGCAAAATGTTAGGTGCGCAGCCCCACCTATTTACCGCCAGTTTTCTGCATATCATGAGAGCCTTTGTTTGCTGGTAATGTTCTTAATATGCCTGTTCCAGAGAAGTTCACTGTCCAGGGTTATTCCCAGGTATTTCACTTCTTGTGATGGCAGTATTTCGTTTCCATCTAGATGGATTCTTTTCAAGTTTTTTAGACTTCGCTTTCTGGTGAATGGCACTACCGCGGTTTTATCTGAGTTGATGCTCAGGCCGATACTCCTGCACCATCTCTCAGCGATGAGGAGTCCTCTTTGGATAATATCATACAGTAGTAGAGTATTCCCGCTAGAGTTAATTCTTCTAGTAGTTCATCCACTATCAAGCTCCACAGTAGGAGGGGGGGAGGGTCAATCCACCTTGTGGAGTTCACCCCTCTTGTTTCCCGAGATCGCTTGACCACCTTGTGAGGTATATTGTCAAACGAGCCTGAAATGTCCAAGAAGGCACAAAGTGCTGTTTCAGGCTTGATTGTATTAGCTCGGTTAACTGGTAAAGATCAGTTTCTGTGGATCTGCCCGCTCTATATGCATTTTTTTTCTTTTTTTTCTTTCTATATATGCACCCATTCTCCTATCCCTGTGCCCTGCACTAGCTTATGCGGGTCCTTGACAGAATGGGAGCATAATTTCTCCGGTTTTAACCTAGCTTTCCCAAATAAAAAGTGTCGCTTGCGATCCAGAGCCTCACAATGACATATTATGTGCTCCGCTGTTTCAGGATCTTTATCGCAAAGTCTGCAGCAAAGACTTTCTTGATACAGGTTGAGCTTGTTCAGGTAACACTTGACAGCCATATGTCCTGTCAAGAGGCCTGTTGTAATCCGCACTTTATTCCTGCTAAGCATTAGCAGTTATTTTGCGGTTTTAGAGCTAGGTCCTTGGATAAAAGCTTTGCTGTGCCTGTGCCCCTGTCTGTTTCTCCAATGGACATTCTGCTTTTCCGTGATCCAGAGTTTTGCTCTATATGCATACTGACTATCGTGTAGTGGTTTAACCTTTAAATGGTTGACCACTACTTTCTCCATCGTTTTAATGTGGATGAGGTGAGACTAATAAGCCTAAATGATTTAGGGTTAGCCCAATCAGTTTTGCCTATTTTGGGTATGAATATTACTTTCGCTCTTCTCCAGATTGTTGGTTCCACTAGCTCTATCCAGGCTAAGGATGGTTGGCTAAGGATACAGGATTCAGACTTCCGAATTAGGTTTATATTAGATTATAGAAGTTCTATATTAAGTTCTTGGTTCGTGAATTTCATTTCAATTTTTTTACATAATATGGGGGCAATGAAAATAC